AGTTTGGTCTTTAAATAGACCTTACAACAGAAACTCCGAAACAAACGCAACTGAAACAAACTCTAAGCTCGTGTCCTACAAAACAGGACAACGACTTATTCTAATTGAAACTTTCAAACATAACTAATTAAACTTAAAACTCAATTTTATTCTTCAAATCTTCCCCTAAACTGGAACGGCTCCTTCCAGTTTACTCCTTCTCACAGCACACCCCCATTCTTCCTCTAAGTTTTTCAAACACTTCACGCTTCACAGCTTTGGTCATGATATCAGACACTCCTTCCATGTAACACAGGGTTCTTTGACAGTTTGATGGTGGAGCTGTTATCACAAAACAGAACCGTACCGTCTCCTTGAGCACACCCAATTTCTTCAAGTATATTTCTCAGCCACACTCCCTGACATGCTCCATAAGCTGCTGAAACAAATTCAGCTTCAGTTGTAGATAAAGTCACTATGGGCTGCTTCTTTGATGCCCACGAAACAGCTCCTCCTCCAAGCATGAATACATAACCTGAGGTACTTCTTAGAATCCTTTTTGCAGCCAACACATGCTGCTCATTGGGGTTCTCCATGTACCGACTAACCAGATTTACAGAATAAATCAAATCAGGTCTAGTTGCAGTCAAGTATCTCAGACTTCCTACAAGTTGTTTGAATGCGGTGGGATCAACATCATCTCCAGCTCCCACTTTCGTCAATTTGTGACCAGGCACGATCGGATTCTTCACCGCGTTGCAGCTCTGCATATCATATTTCACCAAAATTTCTTCAGCATACTTCTGTTGGTTGATGAATATACCTCTATCATCTTGAATAACTTCAACTCCCAAGAAGTACTTCATCTTTCCAAGATCGGTCATTGAGAATTCCATCATCATTGAACTCTTGAATTCTTCTAGCATTGAGATCGAATTTCCGGTGTAGAAAAGATCATCCACGTACAAGCTTACAATGAGGATATTGTTTTCTTCCTTCTTCACAAATAACGTGTGCTCACAGTAAGCTTTCTCGAATTTTTCCTTCAGGAAATAACCCTCAATTCGACTGTACCAAGCTCTCGGTGCCTGTTTAAGCCCGTACAACACCTTTTCATCTTGTATACCTTATTGGTTTCATCTTCAACTTCAAAACCCTTTGGTTGTTCGACATAGACATCCTCATTTAATTCTCCATGTAGAAAAGCGCTTTTCACATCGAGTTGAAATACGCTCCAATTCCTTTCTGCAGCCAAAGCAAGAATCGATCTAATCGTATCCCATCTTGCAACCGGTGCAAAAACTTCATGGAAATCCACTCCATGCTTCTGGTGGTACCCTTTTGCCACTAGTCGCGCCTTGAATTTAGCCACATCTCCTTTCTCATTAAACTTTGTTTTATACACCCACTTGACTCCAATTACTTTTGCTCCTAACGGCAGATCCATGAGCTCCCAAGTGTTGTTTTCTTCAATCGATTTAATTTCAGCTTCTATGGCCTCTCTCCACACATCTTGTTGTACTGCATCCTCAAAACGATCTGGATCATCAGACGCGATGAACATGGCCAGAATATCCTCACCTTGTTCTGAAATAAAAAAACCAGCGTTTCCTGCATTTCGTGCAACGTGGTAGTCTTTCATCCACACAGGTGCTTGTCTGTTCCTTTTTTCTGGAAGGACAGGAGCTGGACTGGAGCTGATATGCTGATTCTCTTCTTCTTCTCCACGTTCTTCTTCCTCATTATTTTCTGAAATATTTGGCTCCTCTGCTTCATTATCATTTCCTGCTCCCATATTCTCTTTTCTTTCAGTTTCTGTTACCATCTCGTTCCATGACAGCTCGTTACTCTGCAGCTTATCATCCCATTCCCAACCTCTGGTTTCATCGAAGTGAACATCTCTGCTAATAACAATCTTCTTCGTTTCTGGATTGTAAAGGCGATATGCTTTGATTCTTTGCTCAATCTGAACATCACACACTTGACACTCTTCTCATCTAGTTTGATTCTTCTTTCGTATGGCACCAAAGCAAAAGCAACACAACCAAATATTTTTAAATGCTCCACCGAAGGTTTGTGTTGGCTCCACTTCTCTTCCGGTGTGATGTCTCCTAACGCAGCTGAGGGGCTTCTATTCAGAATGTGGACCGCATACTGAACAGCTTCTGCCCAAAATCTCCTTGGGACTGACATTTCAAGCAACATACACCTTGTCATATTCATGACACTTCTGTTTTTTCTTTCGGCAACCCCATTTTGTTGTGGTGTGTACGCAGCAGTAAGTTTTCGCTTGATTCCACTCTCCTTACAGTATTCTGCAAATGCCTTTGAATTAAATTCTCCTCCTCTGTCTGTTCTCAAGCATACCAAAGCTTGTCCCAACTCCCTTTCTGCTCCTGCTTTGAATTCTTTGAAGGTTTGCAGAGCTTCTGATTTTTCTGTCAAGAGAAATGTCCAACATTTTCTGATGTAATCATCAATAAAGTTGATAATGTACCTCTTTCCACTTTCTGATGTCGGAGAAATAGGCCCACATATGTCGATGTGAACCAACTGCAGTGCTCGTGATGATTTCCATTCGCTCTTCTTCGGGATGCTATCACGGTTCTGCTTCCCCTTTAAACAAACCTCGCATATAGCTTCAGCTTCTTCTAAGCTTGCAATTGGCAGCCCGTTTACCATCTTCTTCTCAGCTAAAGTCCTCAAGCCTGTGTAGTTGAGGTGACCAAATCTTTTATGCCACAGTTGTTCTGCCTTTTCTGTTACTTGTAAGCATTTACCCTCTTCTGCTTCTCTCGCCTTTCTCACTGTGGCTAGGACAATGAACATCCTGTTCTTTGTCATGGTTGAGTACATTACCATTTTCTTTTGTTGCTTGTGCCAAATCTCACACACGTCATCGTCAATGATCACTCTAAGCCCCTTTTGCTGCAGCTGTCCCATGCTAAAGAGGTTGTTTCTTAAGCCCAGCACAAAGTAAACAGATGTGATTACTCTAATGGTTCCATTGATCTCCAGACGCAAGCTTCCCTTTCCTTCCACCATCATTCTTCTATCATCGCCAAGTTTAACGTTTTGTCGAAAGCTCCCGTCAAATTCAATGAACCATTCTCTTGTACCACACATATGGTTGCTACAACCGGAATCTAGGAACCATACATGTTCCTCTTCTTCTTTAATCATGTCAACATGCGCCATCAGAACCATGTCTTCATCCATTTCTGCGTAGTTGGCTTCTTTGTCCCAGTCTGGACACTCTGATTTGTAATGTCCCAATTTGTAACATTTGTAACACTCCACCATTTCCTTAGAAGAGTTTCCACGTCCTCTTCCTTGATAGACTCCTCGGCCACGTCCTCGGTTCGGAGATCCTCCTCTGCCTCTGCCATAATTGGGCCTCCATTGCCCTTCTACCTTCAGAGCATGCTCTTCTCCTTTATGTCTGCTTAGGTTCTGCTCATGCACCATCAATGAGCTTTGCAGTCCGTCTACTGTCATCAGTTTGATGTCATTTGATTCACTAATGGCACAAACGACGTATGTGAACTTCTCCACCAGAGTTCTCAAGATCTTTTCCACTACCTTAGAATCTGGTATATCTTCTCCCAGATTTCTCATGTTGTTGGCGACCTCCATTACTCTTGAGAAATACCCTGTAATTGTCTCTCCGATCTTCATTTCAAGTATCTCAAAGTCTCTGCGTAGCCTCTGTAGTTACGCACTTTGAACCCTATCATTACATTGGTACTTCCTCTTCATCGACTCCCACAAATCCTTAGACGTCTCCTTCTTCAAAATTGTCTTGAGGATCGTCTTGTCTATGGAGGCAAACAGGTAGTTCTTCACCTTGTGATCTATGACGGTCTTCTCCGCCATCTCCGTTCTTTGTGGTCCGGTTAGGATCACGTTTCTCTCTTGCCGTGGAATCCCTGTTTCAATGAGATCCCACCACTCCTTGGATCTGATCAGATTTTCCATGAGCATCACCCAATGCTCATAGTCTCCGTCGAACTTTGGCACAATCAACCCATCCTTCTCACTCATTTTGTCTGTGTTTTTGTTTTTTTTTTATCTCAGGCTCGTGAAAAGCTCTAATACCACTTGTTAATGGAGAATCAGAGAGCTTTACGAAACTGAGAAGATATCTGAAACTAGTTTGGTCTTTAAATAGACCTTACAACAGAAACTCCGAAACAAACGCAACTGAAACAAACTCTAAGCTCGTGTCCTACAAAACAGGACAACGACTTATTCTAATTGAAACTTTCAAACATAACTAATTAAACTTAAAACTCAATTTTATTCTTCAATTTGTTCCTCCATTACTAACCAGTGCGGACCAAATGACTTGCCACCTAAGAAAAGCAATTGACCTAAATGCTCTTGCGGCTGCATGGGTCTCACATTGTCTCGTGACAGTGTGAAAGCAAAACACGAACTTGCCACGTTATCACAAAGAGCAAGCCACGTCACCGTCTCATTGTTAACAGTTAACACTATTTTGCTCTCTTAATTTATTTCGTTACGGACAACAAATATTATGAAGTGGCGGATAGATGTCTCCAAATACTTTTTAAATTGTCCACTCAATATAATTTAATAAATATAAACAGATATATTAATTGTAGGTTGACAAAGTGTCAATTTAATTAAAAATATATAGATATTAGTTGACAGTGTAGAATTTTTCAAAACTAATCATAAACTTAGTCGTAACGGAAAGGTAATTAAACCTATCAAATTTGACTAATAATTTTCTACTGAATTTCAAATATTTAGTTTAATTATGAAAACTTCCAGTATGCATTAGGTTTTGAAATTATACTAGTTAGTCCTGGGTTTTCGGATCGGTTTGTTCGGATTGGACCGAATAAACCGATCAAATCGCATTTCGGTTCTGAGAGAGTGAAAGGAAGAGAACCGATCGGAGACTATTTAATTGGGAATTCGGTTTCGGTTTAATCGGGTTCGGATTAAGAATTCCGATCGGTTTTCGTAAACCGAGGTATAAAATCCTATTAACACTAAACCTAATTCATATCTCTCCCGCAGCCAACTCTGAACTCTCTCTTGTGCGACTCAAAGGCGATTTCGTTTACCCGTGAGACCAACTCCGACTCACCGTCTTTTCTTCATCGTTTCTTCTCGCCTTCTCTTAATCTCTTCTTCTGTTACTCTTCTTCGTCGTCTAGCATCGAAATCATGCTTGAGAAATCCGGAAAACGAACGCTTTGGTGAAACCCTAATTGCGAAAATCCAAAAGGTAACCTCTTCTTCTTCTAATCTTAATTGTTTATGTCTTTAACTTGGATTTCTGTTAGTTTCTTCGTAAGATCTAAACCCAGATCTCGTTTATGTCTATGTTAATCGCTTGTAGTTTGCGGTATTGTGCAAGGATCTTACACGCAAGGATCTTAATCGCTTGTAGTTTGAGAAGGTTAGTTTTTCTTATCAATTAGGGTTTATTGTATTCAAATTTTGAAATCGATTTAGTTGAAGAATGAATGTGGTTTACTGGTTTTCATGATGCTATGTCACAGATCTGGTCGTTTTAGATGTCTTTGCGAATAACAAGTTTTGTCGCCAACCATGACCGCCGACGTCGCCAACCATGACCGCCGCCGTCGCCATTAACAATGTGTGGAAACCCTAATTGTTAATGGGCTGGACTGGGATGGGCTTGTTATTTTGTTATTCTAATTTGTTATATTTGGGTTTGTAATTTAGTTTTCTTGGGTTTGTATTTAATTTAGTTTTATTTCAGCCCATTATTTGTATTCTGGCTTAATTCGGTTTAAATAAACCGAATTAGAAAAAAATTCGGTTAATTTCGGAATAGAATTTAAAACAGATACCCGAACCGAATGAACCGATTATCGAACAAACCGAACCGAATATTTATTCGGTTTAATTCGGATCAAATTTCAGAAAACCGATTAACCCTTAAAACCGAACCGGATAAACCGAAATTTCCGAAAGCCCAGGGCTAGAAAATTTAGTTCATTTATCAAAAAAAAAAAAATAGTTGTCCAAATTAACCGAGACTGCAGATTGATAACATCCCTAACATTGATCTCACTTGAATCTTATACAAGCAAGCGTATTACTTGATTGCTTCTACAAGCTATCAAGTTAAATGAAGAAACTTAGAAAGTTTTCATGTTTGAAATATGGTTTGTGGCACAAGTCACCTAAATTACTAGTTAATTTTTTTTTTTTTCCGGCAAAAACAGAATTTCATTGATTTAAAAGAGTTATTACAAAGACATTAACAGAATTACTAGAACACAATTATTACATACGCAGATGTATGTGCCATACATTACGAAAAATACAGCAGAAGGGAGATTGACGATGCTTTCCGAAGAGTAGTCTTACTCGCTAACCGACCATAAGATCCGTTATTGTCCAACTTCATATTTGATTTTTCTTGGTTACGATTGGCATGCAGCAACTTGTGGCTGAACTTTCTTTTTGCAAACCGTAGCTTTACACCAGATGTATCCATAAATAACTCTGAAATGTAGACACGGTGGTACCAAAGCTTCCGTACCAAAGTTTTTCTTAAAAAACTCGACTTTGTAATTTTCTTTAACATAATCACAAATAAGTTTACTGTAGTCAAAATAGGTTCGACTATAGCATCTTTTGAAAAGATTGCCTTACCAGATTCCAAAAAATCCCTAACTCTTACCCGAGAGAAACATAGGCCTTGACACAACAACATGTCCATGATCACTTCTGTTGAAGAAACAACAAGAGATGCGTTTGATCCCACGACACAATCAACGTCATCATCAATGAGGCTGGATTTTACACAAATTTTAAATCCAAACAAACCATTTGGTGTTCCTTGAAGGATTAAAATTGTTGAAAATTAACAATTGAAGTGGTGGGCTTGACCAATATTGATGAAGCCCATTGCCATTTGAAAAGAGCAAAAAGACAAAGCCATCATCTTCTTCTCCACCAAGCATCGGAGCAAGAGAGCGTTCATCTAGTCGTGTGAAATTTAGTCTTGTACGCGCCGCCGTCTTCCTTCTCGTCACTCTCTGGCCATGAATCTCCACAAAGATATTTTTGTTGATAAAATCTGACTTATGTCTTCTAATGGATATGAAATCATTTCGTATCCGTCCATTAACACAATTGCCCATACCCATCTTGTGCATATATTCCACTGTTTGTCTCGCTGATGCATTCCATAACCACAAAATCCAACCAATATTAATCAAATCATGTCGCCAAAACTTGACTATGTCTATAATGGACTTTAGTATCTGAATCAATTTATGATCCAATTGATGCATCCGTAGTTTCATCACACAAACAGTGGAGTCACAATCGATTACTCCAGGATCCCATGTCCGAAATTGATTCCCAATTCCTGAATTGGAGAGATTCATATGAGAAACCCAGATTATATCATGACGGAACAGAGACGTTCCGGTGAAGAAACGACGGACACCGTTCCAAGACGGAAAGAAGCCGACACCATAGCACTTGAGTTGAGGCCATGATAGGGTCGGAGATACGCTCTCACGGAAGGAGAGAAAAGAGGCGCGACTTTGAAGGGTAACTTGGTCGCAATGGGCACGATCCGAGACACCATCTATTCCCGAAACCACATCTCCCACACATGGCGATGAAATCTGGATATTATCAGACGATACCCAAGTCAAGATTGGAGACAGATTTGAGATTGACGGCCTCAGATTTTGTAACAACATTGTGAGAAGGCAAAGAGCATGGATTTTGAAATCTCGATTTGCCATATATTATTATCTAGATCTATGCAGAAAGAACAAAACAAAGGAAGTAAAGGATAAAAGAGAGGAAAGGCCGACCGACGCCGGAGAAGCCGACGCCGGCCGGAGACAATGAGAATTTAAAAGTCGCTTTGAAGTCGATTGGGAGAGAAAAAAAAACTGTTTTCTTTCATAAACAGTTTTCTTTTTGTAGTATTTTGTTGTTTAACATTTTATAGCGTAGATGATTTTTGATTTGGATCTCAAATTTAAACATATATATAACTTTTATTGTTTTATCATTTGTTTGTTTTTTCTTGTTTTTTTTTTTTTTGGCTTATATTTTGATTAAATTTTGTAAAACTGGTTTTTCATATCTCTTATTTCAAATGGTTTAAAGTTTTAATGTATTGACAATTTGTGGTAGAAAAACAAATTATTATTAAATGCTAAAAACTTAAATTTGGTATTCTGGAAAATATATGATATGATCATATACTAGTCTAATGTAATTGAACCGTGCTCTCAATCTCTTCACCTCTTTGTTTAGATCACTTCACACATGCGTGCTTACAATGGTACTACGACTGTGTCCAAGGCTTTTTCTTTGATCGTAGATATGTTAAAGCGATTTACTGTGGGAATTATGATATAAGTTTCTACGTGTCGCGAAATATATCGGCCTAGAACTTCAAGGGAATACTACCTTGGTAGGCGTCTACAAAGGAATGTGCAGTAGAAATGTTAGCCCGCGCATTCCAGTACCTTGAACTGCGCTGAGCAGAATGGAGAGACATCCACGTAAAGCTAATCTGCATAAGACCCTTGCAGAGGGTTTTGAACTAGGTGTCAACTTAGACTGTCGGTTGTGTATGCAGTCAGGAGGTTCGTACGGGTATAATCAAATACAAACGACAAGCGGATTCGTGTGATACTGCATAGACGAACCACATAGCCATTAGTTCAAGTAAAAAAGGTATAAACTATCACCTAATATCATCATCATCCAACAAGAGAGAACTCACTTATAAAACTTTGTCTAAGACAAAAAAAAAAAAATACTAAGAGATTAGCGATGTGTTTTGTTGTCATAATTAATCGATTTACTGTTATGTATCCTCCGCTTTAATTGTAATGAATTCATCGTTTTACATAGTACCAATATAGTAATAACTCCAACATACAGACACAAACCATTACCTAAACACATGTAATAGCTAGCCTTTACAAAAGTTACAAAATCAACCAGACTCATGTAGAATTTTTCCAACAAAGGCACGTGCTCGGCACATGGCTACCAAAGGTCTAGCTCTAGGCATTGTGAGTCCTCCACCTTCAGTCATATCCACCTCTTCTTCTCCAATCCTCTCCCATTCAAAGCATTGAATCAAAGACCCGAGACTCAAGCTCACTAGCCGTTGAGCCAGTCCGGACCCAGGACAAGCTCTTCTTCCTAACCCGAACGCTAGTAGCTTACAATGATAAATAATATAGCCCATTATACTATATTACAATGATAAATAAAATTTTATCCAATTAAATTAATATTAAATAAATTATATTTTTATTTTAAACTTCAATGGGCTTTATTAGTTAGTTAATATCCATACTAAATTTTTATTTAAAAATGAATATATGCTAAATTTAATTGACCAATAACACATGTAAAAACAAATTTTTAATTTTCCTTTTGGTTAAGAAAAAATAATTTTTTTTAGATATAGACAAATAAATTTGTCTTTTTTTATTTAGTTTTTCTATTTCTTTAAGGGAAAAAAGGTTAACTCTTTTCTAACACATGTTAGCATCTGATCAATAGACTTGTCACGTGGCACAATCTTATGAATTACTCACTTTGAAAACCATACTTTATATAATAAGATAAGTACTTTAAAGCAATAGGGTTAAAATTGGAATTTTATTTGAATTTTTTTTTTTTTGTAAAACACACATTAAATCTAAGACGACACTATCTATGAAACTGAAAGAATATTAAACACACTTGAAATAAAGCGGAGGGAGCAACTATAATATAAAAGTAAACAATGATAAATAATTAATGCATTGTACTGTACATACACTCCATTATCATTAATAAACGGGTAAATTAATTCGTAATTTATTTAAAGATTAAAATATTGTATCATTGCTTGGTAAAATAAAAATATGAAAATTGCTATATACTTGTCAATCTAAAATTCCTTGTAATACACATTAACCGAACCGAATGGACTGAACCGGAACCAAAGCAAAAATAACTGAACCGAAATTTGAAAATATCCGAATGGATCATAAATTTTAGAACCGAAAGAACCGGAACCGAACCGAAATGTGATTGGCGAGTTTTCTTTTATTTTTGTTATGATGTTTCCACCTCTACATTCAATGTGATTGGAATTGACATAGACTTTATGTTAACACATTATGTTAATTATCTAATATGTTTAGCACATTATGTTAACAGTACAAATGCAGGCTGTTAAGCTCCGCCAAACACTTGATGATGAGTACCAACAAGCAAAGCCTAAATATTATGAATTTATGATGGTAGCATCATTTTCTATTATAGCTTTTAGGTTGATAGAAAGTTATCTCATGAATCATAATAATGTCATTGGCTCATTGCACACACTTGAATTTTAAAAAATATATATATATATATATATATATATATATATATATATATATATATATATATATATATATATATATATATATATATCCTTACAAATTAGTAAAAACGAGGTGGTCACCTGACCATGTTAGTCACATTTAGTTGTGATTCTATACGTCTAGAACGAATTTCCAATTTATTTATGACCATGACCATGCTAGATTATGTAAATCACTTTTGTTCTTTGTATTTGACATTTTGTTAGTCTTAATGTGTCGCAAGTTTTTATGATTAATACATTGAGTTTTGATAACAACCATGTGAAGAGGCAGCTGCAGATTGTGTAACATTTTTGTCAAACCTATGTTAATAGTCTTTTCAAGATAGTCTAATACTCTAATTCAATTGATAGAAAAATGCTAATATCTCTGATTGTTACCAATTTACCATTCTATGGAAAGCGATGCTCATACCATGAATCTGACTCATCAGCTTCCA